TAGACATTGGGTCGTCACGTGAAACCTTCTCACAATGAGTTCAAAAGGGACAACTGAATGGTATGAGCGTGTGTCAATTGAATGTGTGTTGCCGGCATCCAGATCGGTACTATATACGCATACAAGTGGAGAGAGAGGTTCCATTGTGTCAAATTGCTTTAACATGCCAAAAATGCTGATACCAGCACGTTTCTGTTACCCGACGTCATTGCCTCAACTCGGTTGGTATACCCGCCCTTAGTCTGTCTCACAGCCCCTGAACCACTAGATATATGGCGATGTGTGGCCTAGTGGTTAAAACGTTAGCTCGTCAGGCCGAAGACCCGGATTCGATTCCCCACATGGGCACAATGTGTGAAGCCCATTGCTGGTGTATCCCGCCATGATATTGCTGGAATATTGCTAGAAGCGGCGTAGAACCATACTCACTCACTGAACCACATTATAATCTCTACTGCCTCGACCAACCTGCAATGCTTAAGCCCTAAAGTAAGTCTAAAATTTCCCCTCTCACTAAGGCTCATTTTCAACTTAAATGAGTTAATTTGTTACTTTCAAAATTAAATATGTTCAGGACCAAGCGTTAGTCTACCCCTCCCTCCGTGGTCTTTTCTTCTGGTATGCGGGGGTCTGTCTCACAGTCCCTGAATCGGACCCGTGAAGATCCGGGGTAGAATATAGTCTTCAGGGGTAGAATATAGCCACAAAAGGCGACTATGCTTGTCGTAAGAGGCGACTAACGGGATCGGGTGGTCAGGCTCTCTGTCTTGGATGACACATGTCATCGGTTCCCATTTGCGCAGATCGATGTTCATGATGTTGGTCACTGGATTGTCTGGTTCAGACCCGATTATTTACAAACCGCCGCCATATAGCTGGAATAGTGCGGAGTGCGGCGTAAAACTACACTCACTCAGTCACTCACTCACTCTTAATTATAAAATATTCAGAGACTAAGTTTTATTAATGTTCATATGGTGAATTACGTGTTTTCCCGGTTGGACAACGTGTATTGTACACGTCCATCCCGTAAATTGTGAGCTTTCTCCGTGGGGGAACGCATCGTGTACATGTTCATCTCACGAATCTCGTGCATTCTTCGTGTTAGCTGTCAGACAGAGAGAGTTCATTTGGGATTTACAACCTACAACTATCAACGTCTTTCAGTTGTGGACCATGGCGTGTGTGACAAACCCCCCACCTCCATAACCACACCCCTTAAGGTTCGATCCCCGACCGCGTCATACCAAAAGACGTTAAAATATGGTACTTGTTGGTCCCTGCCTGGCGCTCGGCATTAATGGGTACAACAAGGACTGGTCGGCTCGGAGTCAGTATAATGTGTCTGAGTGGGGTATTCATGCTTCACTGCGGCATGGTATCTCAGTGGGCTAGCACTATAAAACCAGCTTCAGTCTGGGCTAGTACAAGCAGCCGCACATACACATACACACGCATGCACGTCGTCATATGAGCGAAATATTCTCAAGTACGACGTTAAACCCCATATCACCTCACCTCACACCCCTTGTACCCTTCTTGCCGTTAGCCGCGTAACCAGGCGATCGGATTGCCAGTGTTGACGTCATCGCCGACACAGCCTCACCCAGAGAGCAATAACCGCAATAACACCTGTTGCAGACCCTTACCTTTGCGTTGCTAACAGCCAAGTTCTTACAAATCCTGGATGCAAGGAATGTCCTACACTCACATTTACTCTCTGAAAACACATACATTTAAAAATCTCATGGAAACTACAACTTTATTCAAATTGTAAAGAAACTCGGCGAGCAACCTTGGAAAATCTAGACTTGCTTCATGTATATAGCACGGCCTGGGGGTAAGGAAAATAAACGGTTTGGAGACTGTAATACAGACTAGAATAACCCGAGATAAGCTCAATGGTCATATTGCACCTGCTTATAGTCACATAAGTCGGTCAACGAGAACCAATTGCCAGGACAATGGTTGTTTAGGTCGAGTTGTACGGGTTTCTTTAGACTTTTAATACAACGTATGCTTCAACCATAAACAAAATGAAAAATGAAAACTGTTTTTACTTCTTTCTCAACAGAGATGTTTAATGACTTCAACAGTGTCGGAGCGGTGGGGTAGCCTAGTGGTTAAGGCGTTCGCTCGTCACGCCGAAGGCCCGGGTTCGATTCCCCACATGGGTACAATGTGTGAAGCCCATTTCTGGTGTCCCTCGCCGTGATATTGCTGGAATATTGCTAAAAGCGGCGTAAAACTAAACTCACTAACTCAACAGTGTCGCTTTGTTATGTAACACACCGCTCAGCACTATTACAGTTGTATGACATCAGTCTTTGAATAACCGAGTATGGACCAGACAATTCTGTGATTACTTCGTCAGAAAGTGAACTGAGTTTAATGCCGTTTCGTATATTTTGAGTATTTCATCTGCATTATAGCCGGGTAAATATGTAATTTGATTGACTATGACAAGGTTTTCAGTAGATCCCCTTTTCTTAGATCCCCCTTTTCTTCGGGGAGGTCAGGCGTAAATAGCACTGACTTTATACAAACTTAGTGAAACCGAAACTGACCTAAGATCATTTATGGTGTAACTCTAGGATTCGAACTGACGAATCCTGGTATAACTACACTTCATCAGTACGACATTAAGAATAACTAAAACATATTTACCATGTCCATTTGTTAGCAGAATATTGATACTTTTTACAATTTCCAGCTGTGAGGACCGTGGTTGATCTACCTGCAAAATAAAAATAAAACGAATTGAAGACATTCTGAAACCTAAACTGATGTAATTTTATTTGAGAATGAAATTTGATATTTCCTATTTATGTATCAATACTTTATGAAGATCGATGCTCATGCTGTTGATCACTGGATTGTCTGATCCAGGCTCGATTTTTTACAGACTGCCGCCATATAGCTGGAATATTGCTGAATGCGGCGTTAAAACAAGCAAACATGTTCACTATAGGTATCCGTTATTTACCCTCCCAGGCATGACTACCGATCAACAAAAAAAAAGAAATATGACAATTTCAATGGAATGTAAAATATTTCAATCAAATATGATAAAAGTCGTATTATAACAATGAGGCAGTTAAACAGTCGACGCCCATGTCGCTTCCCTCAATGATTACTCACTGTCTGACGGGAGAGTCAGCAACGGGCTGTCCGCGAGTGGGCGGGGACAGAAACAGGTATTTCCGTGACGTCATCTGCTGGTTCATGCTGAAGGTTACTCAACGATTGCATTAGGAATCGGTAATAATCCAGACTGATATATCCGAGAAACTTCAATTACGATTAATTACGAGGGGATCTCACCTGAAACAATTAACCGTTATAGTATTCTATATATGTGTATTGTCCTTGAAGTATTTACACCGACTTGATCATAGTCTCACAACGTGCGTAATCATATCTTAATCAAATCTTTATTTTAACAACTCTGATATTATGCTGTTAATTATTGTGTTCATGATTATCATGATGGGAATGAGCTTGTACTGACAAAGTAGACTCCAACAGCCAATCATGGTCTTCATGTCCCACACTGTGCCCGGAGGTAGGGCTCTTTAATGTAATAACTCACGAGACGGTTTCTTTTACCCCGCACTCAGCAATATTCCAGCTATACGGCGGTCTGTAAATAATCGAGTCTAGACCAGACAATCCAGTGATCAACAACGGCATGATCTACGCAGTTGGGATACGATGACTTGTGTCAACCAAGTCAACGAGCCTGACCACCCGATCCCATTAGTCGCCTCTTACGATAAGTATGGGTTGCTGAAGATCAGTTCTAACCCGGATCTTCACGGGTTCACTGAGATGCTGATATCATCTTATCATCATCATGTTTTTCGTGATTTATCATTATCACATCCTTACAACAATGATCACATCAATGTAAATGCACTCAAATCGGTTGATCAGGCTCACTGGTTGATGCATGTCCTCGTAACCCAGTTGTGCATCATCGGTGCTCATGATGTCAATCACAGGATTATGTGACTTACCACCGTCATATAGCCTAACATTGTTGAGTGTAGGGTTAAACGACTAACAACAAAAATGAACATACAAGACGGTCTATCAACCATGCCAAATATTTGTTTGTAACAATTCACTTTTAACATTTAAGTACATTTCAGTTGAAGGTCAAAATGCAGTAAACAAGTTATTGTTTGAGAGGGATTAACTCCCTTGCTGCAGCACGTGAAATCTTCATGTTCAGCCGGCGATCAATATCAGCTGATGGGCTATATTTAGATCGTGACACAATCACATCGTTGAAATAGACAAAAAGGATGATGTCACTCAACTTATATATGACAGAATCAAATCGAGTGTAATTTTCCATGAGAAAATATTACTCAAAATACAGTTATTTCTGAATGAGATTAAACACGCTCTGTGACAGGTGCCCTTGCGATCAATTCCACCCGTCCGTACTGGTAGGATTTATCGATCGCCAGAAAAATCGGTCAGGCAGTTTCTAATTCGCTATATACAAGGCTTTCTGCACATTTTAACCACATTTTGAATTTTAATGATGTACTCAAATTAAGATTTGATCATTTATTTCCGGCGTGTTTCGCCTACCTATGCTGCGTGCACGGTGATTCACAATTTTCTCTTCTGTGGCGAATGAGAAGCCGTCGATCAGCTGATAGCTGCGTGGAATCCCCGCTTACTCGAGATCTATAATTAGAATTAGAGACCCGACCGGCAATAGGCATGTTCCATATCCGATCACACATTTCGCTCAGACGAAAAATAACATTGCCTTCACATCATTTGCCATGCAATGGTATAGGTATATCTAACGCATGAAAATATTATTTTTAACATCAGCTAACGCCGAAGGCGCCTTTGTTACTGGAAATAAATTCGGTCAATAGTGTTGATTCCCAGCTCCGAAATATCCGTTCGGATATCAGACCTGTAGCCACGACGTCCTTGACCCCAAATATCTGGCTGTTTATGCCACCGTTCACGTGGACAAAGGGTGATTCCCGGTTTGCCTATATAGTTGCCCGATAACCGCATTTCGCACCATTACCACGAGACGCTGCGAGGAGAGAGGACGCATCGTGAACTTTGGATATTACAATTAGGAGGATTTACTTTACTTGTTTGGAAGGTGAGAATTTTGAGTTATCTTCGTTAGATTTTGAAATTAGTTCAATGAATAACTACGCGATTCTAATTTCTGTGAATTTGTTAGATGACCCCCGCCTCAATTGCAAGTTTCACATTGAATGGAAATGTTAAGTTATATTTGTCTGATAGATATGACATTAGTCCTTTGTTATTTGTTCTTACGATACTAGAACCTACTTTACCAATTGTCATGATTTCGCGGACTGTAGTGTGAATGAATATTTATGCATGGATACAATGTTAGACCCTTGTCAGGCGCTTGGGGATCGAGACATTTACCTCATTTATGGTTGGTTGTGTTGTTAGAGATGTCAATCTATTGTGCTTTTAGTTCATAGTTGGTCTGGATTAAATCTAGTATTTGTATGTTTTGCGGTGAAGCTGTATTTGTGCAGTAGCAAAAAATAGAGTTGTGAATGAACTCGACAACAGCTGATTGCATATTAGGCTGAATTATGCTTCGTACATCGACATGTGTTCTGATACACTTCTACTAATTTTAAGAAGAAACCATTTATTTCCTTGAGCATGGTGGTTTCTGTCAAACTTCTGATGGGTTTTTTATCTCTGGGGGGTAAAGCTGAGCGTTTGGAATTGCTTCCCGTGCACAAAGACGCGGCTAGACTCCGCCCTTGAGCTCTGATTGGCTAATCGACATTGGTGACCTAGGTCGTTTGCAATCATTAAACGCATTTCGCTGAAGGCCATAGTTGTAAACACGTTTGTCCTTCGTGACCTAGTTCAGTCGAGATCGTGAACTAAACAATGTTTCTCATTCATTTAGTTTAATCCCTCTGTTGACGTAGTGCAGTTTTGTTTACGACATCGTGTTGTTTACGTTGAAACTGTGTGTGACGAAACTCGTACGAGTTTAGTTGTAAACTACAATAGTATCGTGTTTCTGTAAACAAGGCGTTTGTATTTAAGTGGACTTCCCTCTACTTGTTCCTCAGATATATCAAGATGTTGGACAACGAACTCAACAGAAACGAAGTGCAAGTCATGAAGAGAGAGAACATGTCCCAGCAACTGGGCATGTCTTCGTCTCAGATGGGTGGCCCGTTCGCCGAAGTTTCATCAACAATGGCTGTACCGGAGACGCCGAAAGGTGGCGTTCTAGTAAAGGTAAATACTTGAATTCATTTGAATACATCTGTTTTAGAAGTAAAAACCTGAATATATTTGTGATCACGTTACATTTATTTCAAATCGGGTTTGTATTGAAATTTTGTTAAATAGACTTCTATATTGGTGTTGTTTTCTTCCACAGGTTTGCTATGCCGGAGCGTGTTATAACGAGGGTCAGATGAAGAAACGGGGAATCCGACCTCGTTTTCCAGGTATAAGAGACACTTCACTATATCCAGGTGTGCACTTCAGCTAAACCAATGCTTCTCAATCCTCTCACAGCCTTACGATTGTAGCGATGTTAATGATTGGGGGTAATTCTGATCGCTTTCAATTCTGCTGTTATCTACCAGATTTACTATAGTCTTTTTCAAAATTTATTATGTTGTATGAAAAAAATATGGCAATAAGCATGAACTGTTACTGACATTTCACCTGGTCACATTTTAAGTGGGAAAATTGAAATAAATTAGTAATGAGGGAAATCTAAACACACTGTAGTAATCTGTGCCCAGGGAATGTAAAAGTTCGTTGTACAAGAGGAAGGGAAAATAAGATTGAATAAAGAAAATTAAAGTTAATATTATAGTTTGTGGATTTTCTGTTTCAATTAGTAACTATTTTGAATTTATAAAAATTAATTTGGTGGTTGAGGCGAGAGAAATTGATTTTGGCTGATGTTACACCATGCTGAAATTAACTCGACAGTATTTACTAGTTAACACTTAGATGTAGAATTAGACAATAGCTACTAGTTCGCTTGTTCGAAAGGCTTTTCAAACTGCATTGAAGAAGCCTTAGAGACGGAGAGTGGTCAAAGGGAAGCAACTCTACAGTGACAACATTTTTGTTTCAGGGTATGAAATTGCCGGTGTTATTCACGATGTGTGCAACACAATTCCCAACTGCAATTACACTCCTGGCGACAAAGTGATCTTGTTTCCTGAAGAAAGTCTGGCAAGTTCTGGTTATGCCGAGTATATCCCTGTACAAGACTCAGGATGCATTCTTCAACTACCTCAGAACATGGGCTTGGATGTGGCCGCCATGTTGCCCGGTGGTGCGCTCACTGCTTACGCTGCCGTCACATGCGCCAAACCACACGTTGAGAAACTCCAGAAAGTGAAATGTAAGTACCGTCATCAAACTGCATTAAACACATCTGTATCTAGTATTTTACAGTGAAAAGAACCTTGCATCCTCGTGATAAAGATTATTAATTTTGATCACAAAATTTGTGTATTTTGGTCATGAAACGGTTATGAAGAGTAAACGAAGCATGAATTTTTATGATTATTTTCCTGAAACTTTTTCAATAGTAGGCAAATTAGAATTTAAATTGACCACAGGTATTTGATGTTTTTTCCAGCTTGCGTCAATGTCCTCCTAGTCGGAGCTGGTGGACTTGGACTCTGGTCATTGCGAATTGCCCAATACATCATGGGATCTAACTGCTCGAATGTGAAGCTATTTGTGGCCGACAACAGCATTGATAAACTTCTCACAGCTCAGGAGCACGAATGTTATGACATTATTCACTGGAATGAAGAGGACCATGAGGAATACATCGTGGAGAGAACTCTTGATGCCTGCAGAGGAGGTGTCGACATCATCATTGACTTTGTCAGCTCCCCAAGAACCATGAGTAGATCTCTGAAAGTTCTCAATAGGGTGAGTATTCATGTAAAATTTGAATTAAAAATTTAGTATTTTGATTTTTGTCACTTTGGGATGATTATTATGATTTTATGGACATTATGAAGACGTGAATGTTCATAACTTGTGATCTTATTTTCAGGAGGGTCTTATACTCGTCGGCGGCAACAGCATGACAGAAGTTAGCATCAGCCTCAACACCCTCGCTGCCAAGCAGCAGAGCATCGTTGGAGTCCCCAAGGGAAATCTCAATCAGCTGCAAGAACTTGTTGATGCAGTGTCTCGGGGAGAGGTACGTTGAACATTTGGTGTGACATCATTTGTTTGTTGTTTACTGCTGCTCTTAGCATTATACCAGCTATATGAATCGGCAATGTCCAGTGATTGTAAATAGATTTACTCTACAATAAACATGACTTGATTACTCTTATGTTACCTTTCATTCTCGTTTTTAATAATTTGAAGCAATTTGTCCCGAAAAGTTTATGATGTTGTACATTCTGAACATATATTTATGATTACCTTTCTCTTTTGCAGCTCCGTGCTCCTCTGTACAACATTTTCAATGTTGAAGATGCCAACCAGGTGTATGAAGATTTGAGCGAGTGTCGAATCACAGGCCGAGCCATCTTCAAGTTCGCCAACAGCACATCCAACCTGGATAACTGACTTTGAGGACCAGAGTTTTAACTGTGCTACAATACTTTCAATAGAGTCCAAGGTGACCTTGATCATGTTGCCAGGAACTTTGATGGTGCTGCGCCGAGATGGCATGTGACTTCAGGAATGTGTGTTGCAAGCAGTGACGGTTGCCATGGACGCTGGTTGCAGTATCCATTGCCATGACAACAAAACGTACCACGGTTTCCGACACTTCCTAAGAGCGGAGCAAGGTTGTTGGGGACCTTGATCGAAGTCTTTCAAGAACTGGATTGCCCACGATGAAAGTTCCTTTCGAAGATCTGATGTTACTAGTCTTGCTCGATGATCAAATATGGAGTAGGATCACACTAGGTCTAGCTCACCTAATAGATGATGATGATGATGTGAACATGACACGTGGTGACAGTAGCAGAGCACTCTCTTCCAGCTTCGGATATCCACATTTGATACTATAGGTGAAGACTACCAGATATCTGACTGGAAGAATGAATAGCAAAATAGTGCTTGTGATTATCATTGGGAGAAAAGGACTTGTAACAATCGCTATTGTATGAAGTGCTTAACTTATGTGATGTGCCCCTAGTGCTTGGCCGATCAGCCGGCCGTTTACTTAACATAGTGCGTGAAAGGGGACGTAACTCTTTACTCAATTGACTGGAATTGATTATTCCGCCACTGTGATGTTGACCTAAAAACTTATTGAATGGCATTTTTGTTGTGGTCGGTGTACAGATCTGTACACTTGTTCAGTCGTGTTCAGAATGGATGGAAGATTGTTCATAGTTCAGGTTTTGTATGTATATTTATGTAAATATTGTACGAGCGATTGAGCAAGTGTGCCCGGTGTTTTTGTATAAAGTCTGAGAGCAAAGAAAAAAGTTTGAAAAATACTTAAATAAAAAAATATTAAATAATTCATCTGTGCCTTTTGTGGTAACTCTGTCTACACCAGGATGGATGGGTTCTTGTGGAGTAGATGTACCATGTACACGTGAATTGGACTCGGCATTCTGCTTGGTAGGAAAGTGCATATTTATCCTAATCATTATCCCTATGATATATCACCAAGTTAAGTGACAGTGTTTATAGAATACAGTTAATGGCCAATATTAGAATGCGGTCTGTATGTATTTACATCCCCAATGGTTTTGTGACCAGAGCGCACCAGAGTTGTATTTTCTTGTGCAAAAAGAACTCCCTGCGTTCAGGAACAGTGTATTGGCACAAGTCTGATAAGATCACAATCTCAATATTCATATATATTCAGAACATCTCTACTGAAGGGACGCGTTCTTCAGCTTAGGAAGTGTAATAAGGACATTGTTTAAATCTGTTGACATAAATTCTATTGAAGGCTTTAGAGCATGGGTAGAGCAGTGCTTATGAGACTGCACCGTTGCAAGCACTGATTGGTTGACCAGAGTATCCGTGCAGAGGCTCTGCATTATGACGCGATACTGTTCTACCATAGCGGGGTTCTGGTGACCTTGACATTGGATACGTGATCACTTCCGGTTGTCGATATTTGTATTTGGTCATCATTAGCTGAGAAAACCCGCGTGTGTTGAAATGAAACATACATGCCTTCTATATATCAGAATAAGAGTGCATGGGTTACTTGGATCGACAGATGACATTTGACGTATATGTTAGTGATGGTACATCAGATGTACGAACGTTTTGTGGACCGTGACCCAGGTTATACTGACCTTGTAAAGGTCGTATGGCAGAGAGCAGGTTGATGGAATATGATTGCACGTTAGGAGTGACCGAGTTTTACGCCGCTTTTAGCAATATTCCAGCAATATCACAGCGGGGGACACCAGAAATGGGCTTCACACATTGTACGCATGTGGGGTTCGAACCCGGGTCTTCGGCGTGACGAGCGAACGCTTTAACCACTAAGCTAGTCCACCGCTCCTGGACATTAAGAAAGGACTGAAGAGGAACAAGAGTCACGACGACCCAGCAACATTCAGCAATTTTAACAGCAGTGCATTGGATACTCCATCTGCTGAATGAGCATCTCCAAGCTTCATGGTGACAGTTATAAACACAAGTCGTTATTGCTGTGAATACACGAATGATGGGAAGTCTCATAAAACAGAATATGTTGTCAGGAGACATCAACTTACATTCATCACGTGATATCCTGTCTACATACGACGCAACATCCAATCACAGTAGAGCTATGTTTAGCTGGCACTGTTGGCAAAGATGTTGGTCACATTCTTACATCGCTTGGGAGGTTGTTATTCACTTGGCCATGTTTGCAAACTGTCGTTTCTTATGACTGACACTATTGGCAAAGATGTTGGTCACACTATTATGTCGCTTTTGAGTTTGTTATGCAACAAAGCAGATAGCCATGTTTGCAAACTGCCGCTTCGTGTGACGCCGCTGTTGGCAAATATGTTGATCAGGCGACATAGAGGCTGGAGGTGTATATATACGTGCATTGAGTGTGCACGTGATGGGAGTCCTGTGTGGAGTACTGCTGTTTCACGTGCACGATGTGTGATCAGAACATGCTGACTAACGCTTCTATTGCTCACCTTCTACCGAGGCGCGTTTACGTCACACGTCTTCGTTGTCTCTTGGCTACTCCAGTATTTGTACCTTGGAAAAAGGTGAAAGGAATGATATATAGTGATATAGATTTCAAAACGCCTATTTCGTGAAGGAACATACATCATCAAAGCTGCAATCGTCATCTTCGCTATCATCACATTTTTTTGTTTTTAAGTAGTGTTTTAGTGTTTTTACAGCAGTATTTAATATTTTTGACGATAGACTTTGAATCGAATGATTGATATCATGAATATTCATCAGTTGGGATACCATGACATGCATCATCCAAGCCTCCGAGCCTGCCCCTGATCCTGTTAGTCGTCTAGCGAGACATGCATGGTTTGCTGGAGACAAATTATAACTTCGTCTTGAAACCAGAAAGGGGATTGTTCAATTGTCTGTCCAGAAGATTTTGTTATCGTCACGCATGGATATAAAGGAGTGATTAGAGTGTGTGAGTAAGTATGGTTTTATGCCGCTTTTAGCAGTATTCCACAATATGACGGAAGGGGATACCAGACTGACTGACTGAGTTTAGTTTTACGCCGCTTTTAGCAATATTCCAGCAACATCACGGCGGGGGACACCAGAAATGGGCTTCACACATTGTACCCATGTGGAGATTCGAACCCGGGTTTTCGGCGTGACGAGCCAACGCTTTAACCACTAGGCTACCCCACCGGGGGATACCAGAAGTGGGCTTAATACATGTTGGAATCGAACCCCACTGACGGATGTCCTCTAATATTATTTAGGATACTGTTAGATTTGATTTATATTGTTTTATCTACACATGTCCCCCTCGTTATCATCTTCAGTTTTTGGTAATTTTACTCGATTTTCTAACCACAAATGTGTCTTGTGGCCCGCTCGGAGAGTGAGTGCATACAGTTTTGTGCCAAACGCGCTCGCTCAACGTTGTACATTGTTTTTGAAACAATCAACGTTTGCGTTTACTACCCCAAACTCAACAGGGGCAGTGGGGTAGCCGAGTGGTTAATGCCTATGCTCGTCACGTAGATGACCCGGGTTCGATTCCCCACATAGGTACAGTGTGTGAAGCTCATTTCTGGTGCCCCCGCCGTGCTATTGCTGGAATATTGCTAAAAGCGGCGAAAACCACATTCACTCACTCACTCACTCAATAGAACGAGGAAAGAAAACAGGCAATTACACCATTACCAAATATGACCCTCGCACTTAGGATGAAGAATGTACTGATATTGACCAATACCGTTTTATACTACTTGCCAAATGAGATACCATGCTGCAGTTGAGCGAGACCAGCCCACCTGGGCACACTGCACTGACCTCCATCTGACCAATCCTTGCTTTATTCCCTACACTCCTTGCGCCAGGCAGAGAAACAACATGTACCTTATTTTAACGAGTTTTAGTAAACAGGATGGGGATCGGAGTACCGACTCCGGCAGACACTCCATCCAGTGGACCATGATGTCTAGTACTTATTTCCCTACCAGGGTCGATGGGGTAACCTAGTGGTTAAAGCGTTCGTTCGTCAAGCCGAAGACCCGGGTTCGATTCCTCACATGGGTACAATGTGTGAAGCCCATTTCTGGTGTCCGCCGCCGTGATATTGCTGGAATATTGCTAAAAGTGGCGTAAAACTAAACTCACTCACTCACTCACTATTTCCCCACCAGTAATTCCCATGGGAGGATACAGGTGTCCGGATTCACGGGGTCTCACTGTGCAAGATGTGACCTTCAGCTTTGCCATAACACTAGACACATGCTACATTGTGCATTGTATATTTCCATATCATAATATATAGTAATATGGTAATCAACGGGAAATTATAACAGTTTACGTGCTTGAGATCATAATCATAATCATTATGCAGTTTCATTGCCCGTTTTATTTATTCACCCTTGGCCTCTATTACAATATGTGTCTATATTTGATACTGGGTCGTTCTCCATGACTGCATCTTCCGATTTATATCTGTCACAGCGGTAAATCTGTCCGCGATTGGCTGACCGAGTTTCCAACGTCGTGCACGACGGCCGACTACTGCGATCACGCTCTTACTGCCTGACTGCCGTACTCGGCTGTTTGTATCGATCGCGCTCGCATACATTGCCTTCGTTTCTCAGCTCAATGTTAATACGTCTCCCAGCAGTTACCATTAGTTGCTCAATCTATACATCAGCTGATTACAAATTCGGCTTTATGTGCAGTTACAATGTCCGCTGTGTCATAAATCAAATTATTCGGCTAAATGCTTGAATTTTTGTTATGAAAAGACCGACCGACAGGGATGTTGTGTATGTGTGTGTCTGTGTGCATGCCTCTCCCTCTCTGTGTGCACCTCCCCTCTTTCTCTCTCTCCCTACCTCCCCCTCTCTCTCCCCCCTCTCTCTTTGTGTGTCTCTCTCTCTGTGCATGCCGCCTCTCCCTTCCTGTGTGTGTGTGTGCGCGCGCGTGTGCGTATATCCTTACTATCTTGGCTATCTATATATGTCAGATCTTCACTTTGTTATAGTGATTCATAAGCACCTGTGTATGATCTTGTCGAACCTTACTATGAACTCTGCCTTATAGCAGAAAATTCCGGAAATGTTTTTGTGGCCTATATTTGACGTGGATGTATGCATCTTTTTAAGATGTTTGAACGGGTCTACATAGATATTAAATACACTATATGTGATTCACAGAAACCATGCAAGTATCAATGCCCGAGCATGATGTCAATACCTGGTGAAGCCTCCGCCCATGTCCACAATAACATCCCCCACCCTCCCCCTCAATGACTGCATGAAACGTGACATTTGACGTTGAGATATTGCATTCCGTTCTTGGCCGGAGGGCTTGCTCCAAGATTTTGTACTGGAGGATATCACCGGCGTATTCTATAACGTCCTAAAGATGTTCTGTGGGATTGAGATCTGGATTCCTGGCGGGCTGAGGCAGAATTGCTTCCGTTTTCTTGACGTAAGAAATCACCAAAGGCACTTGCACGAAATGGCCTGGCAATGATGTCCATGAGTGAGTGAGTTAAGTTTTACGCCGCACTCAGCAATATTCCAGCTTTATGGCGGCGGTCTGTAAATAATCGAGTCTGGACCCAGACAATCCAGTGATCAACAGCATGAGCATCGATCTGCGCATTTGGGAACCGATGACATGTGTCAACCAAGTCAGCGAGCCTGACCACCCGATCCCGTTAGTCGCCTTTTACGACAAGCATAGTCGCCTTTTTATGACAAGCATGGGTTGCTGAAGACCTATTCTACCCCGGATCTTCACGGGTCAGTGATGTCCATGAAGACTGGTCATGTGTTCAGAGGATGGTCATCGTAATGTGGTACAACAACCCTGTCTAG